CTGCAATGATCACAGAATCGTGGTAATGATACAAGGAGTAGATGAGGTCTAGTAGTCGAGGTAATAATAGCAGTGATGATAGAGTAATTTGAAGAAACAATAGTTAAAATTCTTAATTAATGATGTTATTTGTGAGAAGAGATAAAAACGGGGAGAGATGTAGAGAAAACTGGAAGAACAGGCAGTGGAAAGTGGAAAAACAAGGGGGATGTGAGTAAAGGCATCATTGAAACCCCATATTCTTTCTATCCCAGCCACATTCTTGCCCCTGTACCTCACACATTCTTTCTCTCTGCCAGATCACAGACAATCAGAACACAGAATCAGAACGTAAAAAATAAATACGACACTCAGGCCACAATCAAAGAGCATAAATCGTGGGTAACCAGAGATAACCAGAGCTGATCTACGGAATTGGAAAGTAGCTCCCCATTCCTTGGATCAAGAGCCCTTCACTGTCATCACGGAAACACCTCTCTCTCCCTTATCGTACAGGATGGAGCGGTAACAGCACACTGCGGATGTATTCATTCTTGCTAAAAATAATAATAATTATAATAATAATAATAATAATAATGATAATAATAATAATAATAGCAGTAATAATAATAATAATAATATTGAAAGACTAATGTAGGCAGGACTGGTGTCTCCCCAGTCACAGTTTACCCAGTACGAACACAGCTAAAGTTTGCCCAGTGCACACATACCTAAAAGCTTACTCAATGACGCTAATATTGACTTCAAAAAGCTTTTCACTGTACTCATTAAGTGAACTTTTGAAGCGATCTATGTCACATAAGACAAACTATTATTTAATGGGATGTTGTGTATGTAAATATCAAAATGGTCTACAATACCGACAGGTTGGTAAGTATTGTGTACCATTTTTGATATTATGTACATATATATATATATTATATATATATATATATATATATATATATATATATATATATATATATACTGACAAATAGAAAATTGAATAGATGAATAGACATGTAGAGAGGAGAATATAGACAGAGAAAAACATGTACTGGACAGCAGGAGGAGTTAAGATTGTTGACAGTGACTGTAGATGTCTGGAGGAAAGCATTGAGTTGAGAGGTAAGGCCTGACTGCCGCCATCATTCCATGGCAGGTTGGAGGGTAGGCCTGCCACCATGGATTCATGGCAGCTTAGAAGATAGACCTGCCTGTCGCTGTGATTTCATGGTAAATTAAGAGCGGGTAATCCGGTAGAACGATGAGTTAATATGGCGGAAGGATTTGTTGATAAAAATATCTGTTTACACAATCTCGGCGAGAAGGGGAGGGAAGAGGATGAGGGAAGGGAGGGAGAGAGGGAGAGAGAGAGAGAGAGGGAGGGAGGGGGGGAGGGAGAGAGGGAGGTAAGGAGGGAGGACACAGGTTATCATAACGCCGCAATATTGCCACAATAAAAACACACATACACAAAATATTGGTCTCTGTGCCTGTGCTATTACTGCTCACCATCAATATTTCTGCGTAAATTGATATTCACAGTACGGTGACTGTGATACTGAGAAGCGAAGTGGAAGGCACCCTGGACCACCTGAACGTGAGACCACTCGCTCTTAGGTGTCCGCCCTCAACCCAACACACACGATGACGACCCGAAACACACAACCAGGTCATCGACTCAGTAGTTAAAGGACAACGACTGAGCGTGCTTGATTAACCATCTCATTCCAGAGGACTCGGGATAATACAGTAAATATTCTGCATCATGTATATCTTCTTCAATTAATAACGATGAAAATTCCAACAATGCAGTTCTAAAAAAATACATCGAAATGAGCCCCAAATTTTGCAGAAGATTTAATAGGCATTGTTTCGGTCCGTCACTTGCCACTTGATACTGATAGAGGACGCATCGAAATGTCAATGAAAAGTTTAACTCTAGTTTGTGGGTTTGTGAGTTCCTAATTAAGGCCAACTTTTGCTAGAAAATATTCCCGTTCTCTCCTACATACCCCCACTTGAGCCTCACAAGCAATCTCGTAGCATCTTCAACACCAAACCAACCATTCCACACAGTTTAACACTTGCCCCGCCGGTTTCTTGTCCTTCCACTTTGTATGCTTATCCTATATACCTAAGTGCTAGAAAAAAAAATAGTTTCTCTCATCGTGGTATTGGTCATCCGAATTCTTCAACACACGGCTCATGATCAGCACATCTACTTCCTAAATCTACCTTCTTTATTTGTTTTCGTAATATTTCAGTTTGGTCCGTCCTTCGATCAAATTTCTGCCTGGTACTTTACCTTATGTACTCAGCAGGTTTATTCCACTGTAATATTTACTATTCCGAAGCCCTTATTTCACGCAAAGTAATGTGCATGCTCTCTGCCAATCCTTAAGTTCTTTCTCTCCTTTCATTCACTAACAAATGCAACCTTCATTTCAACACTTCTTCATATTGTGTCTCAGGATTTCATTCTTTCATTCATTCTTTCTGATTTTTCTTCCCCTCTTGCTTTCACCCTGTTTACCATGTCACTTTCTCCATATTCACTTCTGGATATTCCTTCCTAACACGTTCCCGTCTTTCCTTCCTCACACATGACCTTTTATCTTTCATCTCAGCATCTGCATTCTATATCTTTTCTGTTTTTATAACCCATGTTGGTTTATAATTATTTTACTACTACTACTACTACTACTACTACTACTACTACTGCTATTACTACCACTATTACTGCTACTACTACTATTATTGCTACTACTGACAACAACAACAACAACAACAACAACAACAACAACAACAATAATAATAATAATAATAATAATAATAATAATAATAATAATAATAATAATAATAATAATTCTATATTCTTTACTGAAAGGTTTCTCTGCTCATTTATTTATCTGTTTCCAAAACTGCTTGTTATTTCTAAAAAAAAAAAAATGCTGATAATATCCTACTTCTCTCTTGTATTCCCTCTTCTTCATTTTCTCCATCTTCCTTGCATCATTTTTACATTGTAAAAAAATCTTAAACCATCTCTCTTCTTCCGTATCTTAACTCATCATTCCACCTACCTTTCCTCCTTCCACTGGCACCCACTCTTCTTGTTCTCTTAACCATTCCTAAGAGCGAGTATTGTTGAGGTGAGGAATTCAGCCGGCAGGGGCGGCATTATGTCACTTGCTGGGCGGAAGGGGGTAGAGTCAAGGCTCCTGGCTCCCTCTCTTAACTATTAATCCATCGCTTTTACTAATTTTTTGGTTACAAGGGCCCGATCATGCCTACTCTTGAAGCTGTGTATAATGTATTGCCTCCACCACCTCTTCATATAGTATATTCCACTCACCATACTAGGAATGGAAGAAAAATAATTTCTAAAAACGAGACTTAACAAATAAGAAAACAACGGAACTTAACAAGAAAGCAACGAGAATTAACTAAACAAATAACAAAACGGGAATTAAAAAAAAAAAATTAGTAAGACAACTGGGAAAAAGTCGTAACCGGACCCTTTCTGCAGATGAAGAAAATACTGAAAATTTAGGGCAGACGGAGGGGTAGTTTTAGCTGTCGTAAAAAGGAATATTCATCTTCTAGCAGGCTGTCAGTACTGTCAGAGATCAGGACGCTTGTAAGAGGCTTGGGAACTGCTGCAGCATCCCCGGGTGACGTGGATACGGACGGACGTGCATCCACTCGTCTTTACGTACATACAGATTCATGCAGGTGCGTGAATACACGCACTTACACATGAACATGTACGCATAAATACACTCTGTGAAGACCAACCACTATGGAAAAAATAGTGAAATTCCAAACGATTCCGTGATTTCTCACATTATCATGGACCAGGTCCTTGATAATGTGAGAAATCCCGAAAGCGCTTGGAATGTTTTTATTTTTTTTCACAGTGGCTGCTTTGCATATTATAATGCCACCTGTCTACTGTGATCTTATTGCATAAATACACACACACAAGCACACACATGCACAAACACACACATACACACACACACACACATAAATACATACACATACAGACACACACACACACTAGCACACCCCTGAGCACCATAAATGAGAACTCGGGGGGAGGGGAATGAGCACTGGGAGAGAGAGAGAGAGAGAGAGAGAATCCAATCCAATCTTAGACTAACTCAAGTTGCACTCGACTTTAACCTCAAACACACACACACACACACACACACACACACACATACACACACTCACACACAAAAAGACGTGATCAAAGCAGTCTTCCCATTCCCGCTTCATCCTACTCATCTCCTTCTTCCTCCTCTCCCCCCCTTCTCTCTTTCTCTCCCCCAGCATCTCCCCAGCATCCTCCTCCTCCCTCAAAATTCAAGCCAATGGTAGGTTGGGAAGTCGAGTTTTGGTATTTCCCAAATTTATCCTCTTTATGCTGTCTTACTTTGATGTTTTGGCCCACTCAGTGTGGGGCCCTTGTAAGACGTGATCTGAATGGCCCACGCGGAATGTCATTAACCAATAACGATTCGTCTTCTTGACTTCTGGGACCAAGATGAAAGGAGATGGGATTCTTTTTGTTTTGATTTCTTTTTTTAAGTAAAATTTTGTATGCAGTTGAGCCATCCTCCGGGTGCTCTCATTGAACCTGATAATAAAATGAGAACCTCGGTGATGAAGAAATACCGAAATAAAGAAATGGAATTATGCTCATCGGAGATAAATAAGGATAAGAGGAACTATAAACAGAGGGAGATCGGCAGGTAATCAAACAGGCGTCAAAACAGAAAAAACAGACAGACAAGGACTCGCTGACAGTCAGAAAGACACTGAAACGGAAACAAGCAGACAGACAGACAAGCAGTGAGGTGGACACCGAGCCAGACAGACAAAGACATCCAGATAAAGCTCTAGCAGAAACGAGCACATGGTAAGAGATGTTAAAAGTAAATGGAACATTTAGCTATAGGTAAATATGACAAGATGAATATAGAATACGAGGAGCTTTTACAAGCCAG